CCACCACGGTTTTTTATTGGAAACAGCAAGCCATAACATTATCAGACAATCAATCAAAATGCTCCAAAAGCTCCAACAGCACACACAGAGTGACTCGAGCCGATGCTGTTTGGATCGAGCTGATTGTGTAGCAACACCAACGCAGCCACACCCTTAACTATGGATCCAGATGTATAAATTACAAACTTTCAACCTACTAAGGGTTGTTATAAGGGAGGAAACTATTCATTAGAGGTCAAAACAGTTTTTGCATATTTGCTGTAAAGTTTTGGCCACTTCGGGGATGACTTTATTTGCCAGACCCTTAGTTTGTCAGACCCTATCCTTAGGATAGGATAGGATCTCACACTATCATTACAGGTGATCATATATAATAAGTGAAACATCGTGGGAAATCAAAAGATGAGTTGTTTTTTCCCGTTTTGGATGATTGTTTATAGCTCCATCAGACAACCCTCTTCTCCATCCTGCAGATGCATTTTAAGAATTGAGAAATCTTTAAGCATGATGTAATGCAATCGATTTAAATGTGACCGATACAGAAGAGAGGAAAAAACAAAAATGAGAGGGGTGAGAAGGCTTCCTGATTCTCTTCACTTGCATTTAGTCTTTTACCATATCAGTTGTCATTTTGCCTTTCTGCATCTGCTGTCTTGTATGCTTTGTGGTTTTAATGGTATCTGCTCTGTGGTCTTAAGTCATTTTTGTTTCTTCTTTTCAACTTTTTACACAACATCTTTAAGGGTAACCTAGCAGTAACTGTGCAACATTAATAAATCGTAGAGATGAGTAAAGAAGACTAAATTTGCAGCATTTTCTGTAAGTGCTGCCAATCAAAACTTTGCTTTTTGCTTTAAAACCCCCTAAAACTAACTGTTATCTGTTTCTGATGTGAAACCACCAACCACTGTTTCAAGAGAGATCATATTTGTTCTCTGAGGTCTGTTCAACAGCATTCTGAAAAATGTGGGAAACAGCCGTGCCTGCAGAGAAAAAAAAGATAACATGCAAACAGAATGGATGTACTCTGTAATCCCTTTAAACACCAACGAGGCTGGGTTTCTTTATGCTGCTCTCAGACAGGGTGACTTCATGTAAATGGTCGCTCTCAATTGTACTAAACTGAATTTTAGTGACTCTCTACAACCTCTAAAAACTCCACTGAGACGAGACCAGAGATCCTAGGCTTGTAAAGGTTATGCAGATCCTGTATCCGTGTATTCATCTCGGTGGACAGACTTTCACAACAGCATTTACATCACGTGACATCCGTGCAGCTTCGCTTACTGTCTGTGCATTAGTATTAAGATTGGAATCTGGCCTGCAGAACAAACGCAGATGGCGCTTTCATCAAATCATGTGGGAAATTTGTGGCGAACATGATATATCATGAGACCCTGTGTCTACACTGAAAACCATGAAAGCACTGAGTGTATGTGTATGAGCTAAAACATAAACACATCTTAACAACTGAACACAATATGATAATCGGAGATGCCTTTTGGGTTGCTGCTTCAAAGACATTTAGGCAATTATGCTCGGGTCAGATTCCACACCAGACTAAAAGAAAAATGGACTGATGGGATTGACTTTACGCACCAGAAAACTGACTTGCTGAAACAGAAAGCTGTCTCAGCCACAGCTGGCAACACTGGATGCATCAAACGGATCCACTTTCTCAAAGCTGCTAGCTAATTTATGCAAAATGTGGCTTTTTGGTGTGCGTGCTGTGATGCACTGCTTGATAGCATAAAATAGAGTGATGGTTAGTCTGAGTACATACTCACATATTAACTAAGTTGGTTGTTAGGTACTAAATCTACACATGTTTTTATGAACTAAGCCTAACAAGCAAGTAGAAGCGAAAGAAACACCAAGAGAGTAAAAAGAATCCAAGTGCAAAACACTAAGATGCCAACAGGAAGTAAACCAGATGTTCTGGGTAATGACCTTGGAAGTGTGCCATCGTTACCACACCTCCAGCCTCACAAAGACTTTGCATGTGTGTTAAACGTAGACATTATACAAGAGTATTCCAACAAAGAGTACAGACACAGTAAAGAGTTCCAGATCAGTGACTCAGATCAGACCGGATGACATCCACTGACACTGGCTGTGTTGTAGAGTTGGTATGAAAAGAAAAACTATCCTCAGAGGCCAAGGCCAAAGCTAGTTCTTTTTTGTTTTGTTTTGGTAATAGTATGCAAATGTGCATTTTTGAGCTATTTTAATTAGAGCTCAAAAATTAGAGCTTTAATTAGAGCACGATACCACTTTTTTATGTCCAATACCGATATCATAAATTTGGATATCTATCGATACCAATATGAATCCGATATAGTGTATTTTTTAATCAGTAAAACTTTTTTTTTAATATCTTGCTGCATTTTGTATAAGTTCAAACTAAAGTTTAAAAACAAAACAAAACACTAAAGCTATTCTGTTATATTTGTATACAAAAAAATACACTGCACCCAAAAATTTCATAGTTCAGCAATACTGATCAATCTAATAAACTTAAACCTACACCATCCTCCCTATTCTGGTGTTTTAAAGAGTACTTAGCGGAAATATTAAGCAACCTAACTAATAGGGTTGTCAACTACCAGCAGAAAAAAATAGATAACCACCCCCCACCCTCTGCCTCGTGATGCTTAATCGAAGTAATCAACTTTAATTTAATGCACGTGTAAAAGAAATGCACAGAAATCAATAATTTTTCCATAATAATTAAATATATTCAACATCTTTCTTCAACAGAATTGCAGACAGCACAGATGGTACCTTCCCCAAAGGAAAAAGTACTATAGCTTACTAGGGTACATTAGACGTAATAGTTACTATATACAGTAATGGACTTATATACATTTTACATCAGATTAAAACTTTGGGTGTAAGATTCAGATAATTATTTGATAAAAGCTACACATTTTAAAATGAGAATAAGAAGGAAAAGTATTTCTTTGTATCCCCCCTTTTCCCTGTTAATGCCCTATCGGCCCCCCTTGCATAACTTTGCTAGATCCGCCCCTGCACAGTTACCAGCTGTCAGCTAAGTAGAAAAGGATACTGGAGTAGAAAGTAATATTAAATACATTCTAACAACAGCCTATCAAGCTTAAACATGCTGCTGTTGTTCAGCCGCTGGTTTCCTCTTTCTGGTGCAAAGTAGGCCAAAAACTAACAAGAGAGACGGGAGTCGACAGAAAAGCTGATCAGCTGATCATTGATCAGTTTCATGATTGAAGTAGCAGCAGGAGAGGGAGGGGGAGAGAAGAAGCAGTCGCTCCATATATGGGTTGTTAAGATTAACGTGGGAATGCTTTACAAACATTCAGAGATGAACTTACATACTTGCTTTACTTCTCTCTGGAATAACTTTCTCAGAGAAGAAATGCCGGGTTGCTAGCGAAGTTCCAAATGCTCAACCAGACTGCCGACAGGTCTCGCTTGCCACAGCGCAAGGCAAGCATAGGCTACTGCTCCGACGTGCTAAGGTTATGAGCTGAGTTACGCCATGTCGCAAGTTTTGTGAGTTGCTTTCGTGATATTTAATGGATCGATTACATTTTTTATTTCTCTCCGATATCCGATCCAGTAATTTAGGTCAGTATCAGACCGATACCGATAGGTAATATCGGATCGGTCCCTCTCTAATTATAATACTGGCGAATGTGGAGATTTACTGGCTTTTGGAGTGAGCCTTAAGTGGCATCCACAAGAACTGCAGTTTTTTGCGCTTTAATGTTGGATTAACTTTTAGCCTCTTGAATCATAATGACCTTAACTGAGTGTAACCTAAGTGACAGGAAAAACAAAGTCCACTTAACTGCCCTTGTGATTTTTGAAAAAATGTTATCCCCCCCCCTCTTTTTTTGATCCAGCATCCCTCAGTCATCCATTCTCTTTTGCTTCTCCAGTTTTGAGCTGAGCCTGTCAATATCAATAAAATCAATAAGAAAACAGATACCCGAAATTTCTTATCCCCAGTCATTGTGTTCTGTACTCCTTACTGTATTTGGTGTACTGTGTTTAGAAGTTTTATCCCAGATGAATAAAAATAAAGTACCTCTTGGTGACTCATAGCTTAATGAATCTGTCTTGTATCTGCTGTTGTATAGTGGAAGCTTTGAACAATAGGCAGATTTGCATATTTAATCACACTGACAAAAGGAAAAAGAGTCTGTATTTTTAGTGCTGAACTAGTCCCACAGTTTTGAGACAACTGCCAGAAAAGCTTCGCTAAAACATGTGGATTAACCGGTCATAGTTTGCTATGGTTGTTGTTTGAGATCTGTCGTGCAGTTTTTACAAGATTTGTGAGGAAATTTGGAATTAATATTTCAGGACCCTGAAAGTAAGAGGGATAAGGCCTTGAAGAGGTCAGACCTTCTCTCTGATATTTTGTATTGTCTTGTTGCTCATTATATTGCTAACCCTAACCCTAGCCCATAACTCCCAACAGAGCATCTGTATACTCAAAAGTTCTTCCCAGCTGGTTTTCTGGTTCTTCAAGTGTCTCATTTGCATAATATGTAACGACACTATACCTCACCTCCAGCCAAATGTTAGCTATGATAGACTATAGCCACACAAGTGGTTATGGATAGATAGGCATCAATTATGCTACATAGTTGTATAATAAGCAGCCAAAATTATGCAGAACTTCAAACATTACACCCACACACTACTGCGTACCATATGGGAAAAGGAATTTTTATCTATTTTTTTAAATCTCAACTTGAAAAAATATTATACATCCCTTGTTTGTTCACATAAGATTTCAAGAGGAAAAAAGACTTTGTGACTTTTCACCTTATTTTAAACATTGTAGCCATTTATTTCTGAATCTCCCATTTAGACTGCAATCAGGCTCCCACTGCATGCATGGGCTTCACAGCACAGTGAGTTGTTTCAGGAAGTTAATGAGCAGGGCTTGTTGTTGAGAGGGTGGAGTGTTCCTCTCAAACACAAACAAGCCGTAAAGTGCTGCAGGGGAGAGGGAAGTGGGAGGTTAGCATAGCAGACAAGAGAAACACTCCAGTCCTGAGTGTCGCTCCACGTCAGTGTTTGTTCCCGTAGAGGACTTAAATTGCTCTGTCTGTACTCATGAGGATTTACGGTGTACTGGCATCATGAGTGAGTGTTTGCACCTCTGTAATCACATGTAAATTTTTGCTCCAGCTGTGGGGGGTTGGGGGACATATTTCAGGGAAGGGCGTGGATTTCTTCGGAAACACAAACCTCATTGAGATAGGTTGCGGTTGTGCTGCTTCTCTATGAAAGCTTTGGCTGGTGGTCTTTACCGTAAATGTGTGCACAGAAAAAAAGAAAAGGGAAACTCCCAAGAGGCCTTGTTTTGGATTTGGAAATGGTTCAGAAAGTATTTTTGAATGAAAATGGCTAGTGTGATCATATTTTTTTCTGTATTTGGGACTCAAGATTTATAAAACAAACAAGTAGGGCCTTATTTTTAAGCTTCAGTATCGTCAGAGGCATGATAGGTGCTGTAACTATGGCAGCTGTTTGAAAAAGGAAAATGAAAAGAACATCTAGATTATTCAGAAAACGTTGAAAAAGACTGGTAAACCCACACATACAAGGTTTACTTTTTCCTGCACAGAGGAATTTTGAACAGCTAAGAGGTTTATTCAGATCCAGAAGAAAATGACAAGCATTAGAATGATTTTTTTAATGCATTTATGTTTACCAGAGTTTTGTTTATCAAATGCTTAACTTGTGACAGACTACAGACTGCACCAGAAGTGAAAGTGAAACTTTGTAAGAGGTAGTGATGAATGGCTTCAGAGCCAGTGGCACTGATAAAAAGGCAGGAGGCCGAGCTCAAGATGTCCATATATTAATCGAGAGTGAGAGTGACCAGGATGAACAAGGTCAAAAATGAGTACATCAGAGGGATAGCTCAACTTGAGCAAGGGTCGAGGCTGCGATGGTTTGGACATGTGCAGAGGAGGCTTGATGGACATATTGGACAAAGGACGCTGAATATGGAGACGAGGAGGTGTGACAGAAGAGGATGCTAGTTATAGGCTGAGATGGAGACAGATGATCTACCGTAGTGAGCCCTAAAGTGAACAAGAAGAAGAAGAAGATGAAATGAAGAGTAAGAGGCTTTCTTCCCTTGTTTTTTCTAACTTTATGTTTTGATTTATGACCCTCAAATCCCCATTTTGAGTCCTGACAAAGCTTCAGACTTCAGCTGTATGAACCACAACACGTATCATATAAAGTCTGGTCACTTTATTAGATACACTTTGCTAGTAGCAGTTTGGACGTCTTTTTTGATCCATATTGACACGATAGCATCATGCAGCTGCTGCAGATTTGCTGGCTGCTAGATGCAGGGATGTTTTACCAATATTCTTTTGTCCAGTTTTGGTGAACTGTAGCCTCAGTTTCCTTTTCTTAGTTGTCAGGAACGGCACTTGGAGTGATATTCTGCTTCAAAATTTGAAGTGTTGAGCATTCAGAGATGCTCTTCTACATATTTTGGTTGTAATAAACAGACCACCCAGACCAGCCCACCTGACACCAACAGTCATGTTTTGATCAAAGTCACTTAACTCACCTCTCTTATGTCTTCTCTTCTTTATGAGTTCAGTCACAAAGAAAAGAAAACATTAACTGTGTAAAAACATGGGTACAAATGGGGGTGGAGGGTTATAAGATTAAAAAAAATGCTGGTGTTGACAAAAAAATAATCCAACATTTGCTAAAACCTTACACTAGTTATATTCATTTTACTAAAATCTTGCAGACAAATTTGTGAAATTATGACAAAGAATCTTTTTTCAAAGAAGTCATAATGTGGTTAAACCTTTGCATCATTTCAGAAGTGCTACAAAATGTAATCCTGGGAGAACTGCCTGATGTCAGGTGTTTCAGTAAACCATGCAGAGTAGGATTGTGGCACAGCCACTCTGCTCTGTGTGACGGAGGAGAGAGCCAAGCTTGTGATGACTGTTTACTCAGCCCCACTCTGAGTGAACACTGCCACTATTCATCCCATGCCAGCACTGGAAAAATCAGACACACACATACATATACACACATATACAGCAGGCGTACAAAAATGCTCCATTATGTGAGAAATCTGTGAATTTTCACAACTTTGTTACAGGAAAAATAGAAACGTATTTAAGTAATAAGGCGTAATATGGTTTTTTGTTAGTTCTGAATGCTTTAATGGACTAACTTTGCTCTTACACATCTGCTTAGGTCAGGTGAGCAGCAGCTTTTGGTGCTGGCATCTCATTGGAGATTTCAGGTTATCTCCAATTTAAAGCCCATCTTTCCTGGATGATATTAATCACACCTATTAATCTTCAGCGCTCTTTATTCTTTTTCTTTTTTAATGCTGTAACTTGTGTCTGACGTTGTGCAGCACACCGGTCAGTGTTTGTCATGCCAAAATCTGGTACACAAATAAACAGTCTTGACTCACCTTCCTCTCTCACACAAAGGACAGTTTGTACCTTGAGAGCATTCACAGGAAAACTCGTGGTACACCTTTGAGGGCAAACTTTTCCAAGAACTCCGCGAGGGAACAAAAAACAAAATGTAAGACTAGTAAGCACAATGTGAGGGTAAAATAATAATAAAAATAATGTTAAAAAAAAAAAGAAAATGGAAAAGTTGCAGTAAAAATACCAAATCACCACAAATATGTTCTGTATTTCAGTTCAAAAACATGTTTTTGTTTTAGTAAAAACGGCTCAGTTATAAAACGTCATTTCATGTCACGTGTACGACTATGGAAACAAAAGTAAAAAGTGCAACACCGCCACCTCGTGGACAAATGACATCAGTGCAGCTTCTTTGTCTTTGTCTCTCACAGACTTTGATGTAAGGCACAGGTGTTGAACTCCAGGCCTCGAGGGCCGGTGTCCTGCAGGTTTTAGCTGTGTCCTTGATCCATCACAGCTAATTTAAAAGGCCAAATTACCTCCTCAACATGTCTTGAAGTTCTCCAGAGGCTGGTAATGAACTAATCACTTGATTCAGGTGTGTTGACCCAGGGTGATATCTAAAACTTGCCGGACACCGGCCCTCGAGGCCTGGAGTTTGGCACTCGTGATGTAAATTTTCCTTTGCTTCTAAAATATTTACACTCAGTCCACTTTGTTAGGTTTGTTCGTTCAACTCATTTCTAATGAGACACATGGCGGAAACTCCCCCTAATGGTGAGGAAAGGTGATTTAAGAGACTTTGAAGTAGTGAGAATAATCTGAAAAATAGAATAGAATAGAATTCAACTTTATTGTCATTGCACATGCAAAGGTACAGGGCAACGAAATGCAGTTTGCATCCATCCAGAAGTGCTTTAGTGATATAGATATATTACAATAAATATTAGCAATAATATAGATATGTAAGTATATTACAGAAATGGGTCTATTATGGTATGTTATAATGTACACGGTATGAAGTATGTTGTGAATATTCTATAACTATAAGTATGTACAGGCTGTAGTGAGTACAAGCTATGTACAGGCTATGAACAGGATATAAATATGAAAAACTATACAGAATATGAAATAAATAACTTTACAGAATCTGAGATATACAGCTATACAGAAATGGGAACTATGCAAGTTGTAAACAGTTGTAGGATTAAAGATTATCGTATGTACAGAATGATTATTTACACAGAGCTATACAGTAGTGCAGTTAAGATAAGTGAGATATGAATTCTACAGAGGCTATATAAAGTGCTGGTGGTTGTGAGTGGTGGTTCAGTCCATGTTATTATTGTGTGTTTGAGGGTACAGTTGTCCATTGTGGGTGTGTGTATGTTCAGTCCATGTTTAACGTGGGTCAGATGTCAGGAGGCAGAGTTCAGAACATACCCAGTGAGCAGCAGAAAATGGCTTGTAGATGTCAGAGGTCAGATTGTTGGCTACATTGTTTCGATAGGAAGGCAACAGTAATGCAAATAACCACTTGTTATGACCAATGAATGCTGAAATGCATCTCTGAATGTACAATCCTTGAAGCAGAATATCTACAGCAACAGACCACACCAGCTGCCACTCCTGTCAGCTACAAACAGGAAACTGAGGCTGCAGTTCGCACAGTCTCACCAAAATTGGAAAACAGAATATTGGAAAATTGTTACCGGATGAGTCTTTATTTCTGCCACAATATCTAGATGGTAGGATCAGAATTTGGAATAAACAACATGGCCCAGTTCTCCTGGATCCATCCTGGGGAGCGTTATTGCAGCTTCCCACCCTCGATTTCAAGTACATTTTTCTATCTCTCTCTCACTGACACACACACACACACACACACACACACACAAAAAAAATAAACACACACACACACACACACACACACACACACACACAGCACACACACACACACACACACACACACAACAAGAAGATTGTTGATTTATGTACCTTTGCATTTTTGAAATTTTGTGTTTCAGGTGCTGTATGTTTGATTTCTTACAGGCTTTGGAAATACACTGTGCATTTCTATATACATATACTCACCATTTGTAATATAATAACTGAAATAACACAAATTTATATGAAGAAATGAACAGATAAACTGTCACAATATGCACAACGCATGGAAAGAATGAGGTGGGCCCAAATGCAGACAACTGAGAGATCGAGGTAAAAGTTTAACAAAAAGCGAGCCTTTATTCTTGGCTGCACAAAATACTACAAAACAAAAGGCAAGGGTGACTGAGATAACTAACAAAAACCTAAACTGGGATCAATTAAAAATTACAGACTACTTGAAAACTAGGAACCTGGAAACACGTGAGGAACAAAGAAAAACACACACAACTTATACACAGAGGGTAACAAGGGAATACGCAACAGGTTGCAGCAGATGGCCGCCCCTCCCTGAGCCTGGTTCTGCTGGAGGTTTCTTCCTGTTAAAAGGGAGTTTTTCCTTCCCACTGTTGCCAAAGTACTTGCTCATAGGGGGTCATATGATTGTTGGGTTTTTCTCTGTATCTATGAAGCGCCTTGAGGTGACTTTTGTTGTGATTTGGCGCTATATAAATAAAATTGAATTGAATTGAATTGAATTGAATTGAGGGAGACACAGCTGAACCTAATATGACATGACGAAACAAAGGGGAAGCAAAACTCAAAACAGTAAAGTAAAACAGACTGTCGAAGTAAAACAGGAACCAAGAGTCATTCACAAAGATACAGACTTGACACTGATATGAGGAACAGAGGGAGCAGAAACAGATGAATAAACATGAAGACAGAATGAAACCTACACTGGAGACATGACACACTAAACATGGGAGGCACAGGAACAAAACCTAAGAACTACAAATCACTGTATATAACCATTAACTAACTAAAATGAAGCATATTAATAATAAAAAAACCAAAACAAAACACGGAGCCACTAGGCTCTGGGCCATGACATAAACTCTGATAAAGAGGAGACTATAGATTTTAGAGGTAATCCTGGAAAAGCAGGTGCAACAGCGCATTCAGATCACAAGTCTGATTGCACGAGCTGGCTGCAGGTTCCCTCAACCTTATAAACCTTTATAAGGGTGGGGAAACAGGCAGTTGGATGAGTGACGAAACGTATCTCCCACTGAAAACGCTGCGTCCAGATGAACAGAATCAACCTTTTGGGGGCAACGGAATAATGAAATACAATATTCAGTGTGTGATGAAATAAAAGCATGTGTACTTATCAGAGGCAGTATATATTTAAGATGGGAAAAGTTCCACAGATGATTAAAAATAAAGACTGCTTATCAAAACTGAATACCTGCTCAAAAGTTACAGCCTGATTTTTCACATTTGGGAGAACTGAAGATGAAGATGCTCAATTAGCGTGGGAACCAAACTCTCAGATCCAGACCCAAACAATCCAAAGCTGATCCAGCGATGCCCACGATCAATGGTGTCAAAAGCAGCAGAAAGAGCCAACAGTACACGACCCGAACAATCATTTGACATTTAATAAGTCTCTGGGCTCTATGCTGGCCATTTGTGGTCACTTCACTTTCTTTTCTTTGATCATTTTTGCTGTGTTAATGCATATGGAATGAAACTTCCCAAGGGTCTCAATTTGTTTTCAGATTTTTAAATTTTTTAACCTCAGCTCCTTAAATATATCAGTAATATACTCTATACATCCAGTTGTTCCTCTTGGCCACTTTTGGCCAATTGAAACCGTTTAAATGCCTTTGCCCTGTGGAAACCACTTCACAGGAGTGGGAATCTTCTATTCTTGTTGTCTTCTTGTTGTCTTCCAACAAGTACACTGTACAAACAAACTGGTGTTTTAATGCTTTAAAATATAAAAAATTAATGACTATTTTACATTTAAGAAAAGAAATGATGTTAGTTAAAAACATCATACAGAAAAAATAGAAAGAAAACTTCAAAACAATAAAAATTACAGACCTAATCTGTTGGTGGACACTTTTGGCCATGAACAGGCTGAAAGGATAGTGATTTTAAACAAACAAACGCAGGGTTTAAAAAATAATAATAATAATTAAAAAAAATTGTTTTTTGGTAAAGTGCTTCTGGAAAGTTATCTAAGAAATTATGAGCAGATAGGACCTTTGTAATTTGGCTGGCACCTATGTTTTATCCCACCATATTATTGAAGAGCTGTCTTGGATGACTGAGATTGAGTCACGATGGAGGGAGTAAAGTAGATGACTAAGAATCTGGAGCTTTGTGCATTTCCACAAACTCTTCACTTTCTGGTAGCTTAGCTTGAAGCTGTGAATGCTGTTGTTCAGAAAAACGAGTGAGAGAGAGTAGTAAATTTGTTCACCTTTAGTAATCTTCAGTAAGTACTTTAGTAATCTGCTGTTCAAATGAAGAGATATTTTCTTATATTACATTTGATACTCTGTGATCACCCATTAGCACATGACGCTATCATGTCCCAACAGCAACATGAGCTGAAAAATGTAAAATCCTTAAGAAGCACTTCAGTGAGGGATCCAAATAGCTGCTATAGTCACTGGATCTCACTCCAACATAGAGCACATTTAGGATGGATGTGCAGCTGATAGGTCTGCAGGAACTGTGTGATGTCATTATGGACCAAAATCTCAGATGACTGCTTCCAGCACCTTCTTAAATCTATGCCATGAAGAATTGAGAAAGTTCTAAATGTAAAAGGATCCAACTTGGTACCACCAAGGTTAACACTTAATTAAGTGGCCAGTGAAATGCAAGAAATGCAACATCATAGTGCCCAGTTTCATAATAATCCCCACCAATTAGTGAATCTAATATTTTTCATGACAAAATGAGAGATTCGTTTAAAAAACACAAAAACTAATTGCCAAACTCATAACCCCAAAGTTTTACTTTAAACTCAGCTTAGCAAAGAACCAGATCTAAACTGAGTCTTCATGCACTTTGTCACAAGCAGCCTGTTGCAAAAAACACCCACAATTTGTTCACATTTCTTTAGTTGGCAAAAGAAGAAGTGGGTGTTCTTAAGAAAGAGAATCAAAAGAAAGCCTCATGTGATGTGGCATATGGAGTTGATTTGTATGCCAGATTACACAAAAACTGCACTGAAAGTCAAAGGCAACAAATGTTGTGGAAAGAAAGAAATTATGTTTTTCTTTGTTAAAACACTGGAAACTGTTTCTCTAAAGAGAGTGTGTGTAGGGCGAGGAAGGAGAGTTTGCTGATTTTAAGACATGATAAGAAAAAAAAACAGGTTGGAAACAATTGCCCTAAACTGTCTATTAAATATAGACTTTCACGACATGACTATCATCATGTGGTTTTCATCACATCTCTGCTCTGTCTGTGGTTCTTAGGTAAACAAACAGAGGAAGAAATGGAAAGAGACAAGCGACAGATGGGGACAGTTTTTGTAGCACGAGGTGAAGTCCTGTAACGACAGCGCTGAGAAACCTGAGTAAACGGATTACCACAGTTGGCTGCGGTAGGTGTCCTTCCCCTCCAGCTTCACCTGTCAAATCCTGAAAGTCTGAACCGAATCAAAGTCAACCTTCACCTTACTTGTCCCAAACCAGTAGATATTAGACTCTGAGTTTCTGTATGTGGTATTTGAGGTGAAAATAATTTTTCTCAGATTCACTAACCAAGATTAATTCCACATTTTCTGTGCTAGACCTCTCCATGGTCTCATCCACAAGGATAATAAAGGAGTTCATAGTTTACACCCTTTGAATCATTATGGAGTATTAGTCACATTTCAAGCTGTGTTAACTTTTGTATCTCTGAATAATAGTCTATGCTTTGCTGCACTGTAGATAAGCAACAGTTAACAGCAAGGAACTGGTTTTTCCTGTAGGGGTGAGATGCTTTATATTTAACGTGAGATGAACTGTAGCTAAAGAAATATGATACTCAACCTTAGCCTTCATGCCTCATGTGAGGGGTAAGTTGATCCACCTGACACACTCAAAAAAAACGATTCTTTGTCCTCAATAAACACGAAGCACTAATTTTGAGTAGAATGCTACTGAGATAGATAAAATCAAATGTTTATTTAGCCAGATAATGACAGCCAGATTCATTCACTGAATTCCACCTTCAGACCAACTGTATAATCTGTAGTATAAAGACAGTCTAGGCAGTATCCTGTCACGGATGATAATCAGCCAGGACAACTCATGAAACATCTGCTTGCATGTTGTTGAAATCAGCTGTGTACATTCACAAAGAGCATCAAACCTATTCTGTATTTAAAATATTAAAAATAATATTCATTGTTATGATGCAATATGAATTTTAGGATCACATATTTGTCTAAGCTTCTCTCCAAACTTTATGCTCATTTTACTCCACAGCCACTAGTTTGGGAAAAAAAAGTGCTTCTGACAAACAAGAGCAACGTTTTTACCAAAGTTGTGACGTAAATGTGATAAACAGGCAACAAACAAAGCTGATTTATAGATTAGTGGAGAAAATAGAAAGAAATATATCTACTCCAAAAATAAACCTAAATGTTTTTGTAATTATGACAACAGTATTTACTGTGTGACACTGTAGGTACATCCCAACCCCAGTCACCAGTAAATATATATAATAATATAATAATAATATATATATACAGCTGATCATCAACAATTCAACAAATCTGCTCCTGCAGACTTGTTGCACACTACAACAGATGGAGCACTTGCGCTGTATTTAAGAAAGCTAATCTGTAAATCAGATTGGGAGCGTCCACATCAATCGGACTTCGATGAATCATGTGTTCAAGTGAAAAGCCACTGGACCATCTGGGCCATCTGAACCATCTGGCCATGAAGCCGTGATTCCTCCTGATGGTAAGAAGATAAGGCTCTCAGTCTGTGTTCGTCTGTTAGAACGAGGCGGTAACAATGTGTTAATCTTCCTACTCGAAGTAAAACTATTTTCCTAGGAGGTCAGTGTGCTGAGTGAGGTGACAGAGGACGTGCAGAAGGTTTGCTTCTGGCTGTGACTTTGGGATAAAATAAGGAAAAGGATGGCAGCTATGTACCGATCACCCTCTCTGGGAAACAAAGAATTAGTGGCTCTGTATGGAGAGGAAAGAGATCATTATTTTGACAAGGATGAGGACTGTATCAGTGAGGTAAGGAAGCTAAAGGTTTAAAGATAATAAAGTCTGTTTAAATCTGTTTTCAATATGTGTATGTATATGTACATTCAAAGTTAGATAGAATTATGAATTACGAAGTTGTGCACTTAGTTGTGCAGTTATGGTTATGTGTGAACAGAAGGAAATCCCCTGACTGTACTAGTTCCCACATCCTTCCTCAATGTTGCACTGAAAATCTTTTATTTGAGGCATTGCATGCAGAGCATAAAACATTAGTATAAAATACACTATTTCACCGGTTTCACAGCTAGATGAAAGAAGTCTGAGTGCAACAGACAGTTGCTTTTGTTTCTGATAACAACTACATAAGGTGTCTAAAAATGAAAAATGGAAATACCCTTATGAAGTTAATTTTTTATGCACACTCTAACCCCATGAATGCAAGATCTTTGCAGTCCAGCCACAGGTAGATGAAGGTTGTATACATGCATTGCATACTAAACCTGCTTTTGGTGCTGCAATGACTTGTTAATGGCTTGTGTAATGTTCCTCTTAATAGAAGCCAATATAGAAAAGGTTGAAAAAATAATGTGCATTCACTCAAAGCACTAAAAGTAAATCTATTGCACTGAATTCATTCGCAATGTTTCATAATCTTGGCAACTTCTAACCTGTCAGGAATGTGACCTGGACTCGGAGTGCAGTGAGGAAGGAAAAGACGGGAGAGGAATTCGCAGCTCTCTGTCACTGGAAATCGTTGGTCTGCAGAGGGAGCAGCATGTTTACTTCTCCAACCAGGAGTACTACAGGAGGCTGGAGGAGCTGAAGAGCAATCACCTGAGGAACATGGCTGAGTTGGAGAGGATGTACATCAGCCAAGGCAAGGAAAGGCATGGAGGGGGTGATGACGCATGTCTGGGAAGAAACAAAGAGGCCAGGCAGCTCCTCAGGTTGGATACGCTCTATGACTCACACTTAAACCTTGACATAATAGAGAAATGGAAACATAAAGACCCCAATAACTATAGCTTAAATAATTGTATGGTTGAGTTTTTTTAATAAACTCAACAGCCATCAGGTGTTAAATCAAATCTGTCTAAAATAAGATTAGATTAGATTAGATTAGATGAAACTATTAATCCCTCGGGTGGTTTCCTCCGGGAAATTCAGTTTCCAGTTGTACAGCACCGACAGAAGTTGCATGTTACAGATACAATAAGGGGAATGAGAGTAAGGATATAAGCATAAATACACCATATATACACATGTATAAATACAGAATATACAACATGGATAAACAGGATTGCACATTTGAGTGAGTAAGAAAAAAACAAATATTGCAAATAACGCACAGTGTAAAAAAGCACTACAGCTCAGTTGTTCCCGCCCTCCCTTGTCCCCCTGTTTCCCCTCCCCCTCACCTCCAGTGAGGAGTTAAACAGTCTGATGGCGTGGCGCTTTGGCCTTTTTTATACAGGTGCTGTGTGTTGCATGATCAGTCCAGTTTGTTGTCCACCCACAGCCCGAGGTACTTGTATGTGTTGACCACCTCCACCTCCTCCCCCTCTATCTGAACTGGCAGTGGACCTGGTCTGGACCTCCCGAAGTCCTTGGTCTTTGAGGTGTTGAGTTGCAGGTGGTTCGTGTAACTCCATGTGACAAAGTTCCTCACCAGACTCCTGTACTCCTTTTCCTGGTCATCCCAGATACACCCCATGATGGCCGTGTCATCTGCAAACTTCTGAATATGGCATAATTCAGAGTTATAGCAGAAGTCAGAGGTGTACAGGGTGAAGAGAAGAGGGGACAGCACAGTTCCCTGTGGTGCTCCTGTGCTGCTGACCACAGTATCAGACGTGATGTCCTTCAGCCTGACGTACGGTAGTCGGAGATCCAAGCAATCAGGCAGGGGTCCACCTGCATTCTGTTTAGTTTCTCCAGGAGCAGACAGGATTGCATTGAAGGCACTGGAAAATTCAAGAAACAGGATCCTGACCGTGCCTTTTCCCTTGTCCAGGTGTGATTGGGCTCTGTGTAGGAAGTACAGGATGTCATCCTCCACCCCAACATCCCCCTTGTAAGCGAACTGTAGTGGATCCTGGGCCACTACATTAAGAACAAAGATGAGTGCCTAGCGTGCTCTCATATACATGTTGTTTCCAAAAGAATTCGATAACTATTCAAAAGCAACATTTATTACAAAACAACAACAATAATAATATCTCTGAAGGATGATACAGACATTTAAATAATTAAGGCTTAGTGGACTAAATCAGAAACTCACACACGTAATCCGTTTTCTCATTTTTCCTGTTTCCTGTTGAGTCAGGAACCTTTTGAAAGGAAATTCAAACAGAATTTTGACGCAGTAGCAAGAACTCTGTTTCCAAACTTTAAATGTCAAAAGTCACACATTTTTGAACTGTGACCTTTAAAGCGAAAAGAAAATTCCCCTTAAAGGATGTTTAATGGATAGGAAATTGTTTGTTTTTCTTACTGGGAGTTGTGCTTTGTGTTGTGCTACAAATATTTAATAATGTAAGAGCTTTATTTTTTAGAGAATATGTGAAAAATTTGAATTTATTTAATTCTCAGGAGTGGGACCACATGCCCAAACACTGCCTTCCTGCCATGCATTTGCACACCTGTAACCTGTTTGCTTTTGTTTCTTACACCCCATCACCGTTATTTCTCTTCCCAAATGCTGCCACTGACCCACCACTTTACTTCTCATTCTTCTGAAATCTTCACTGACAGTTTACAAGTGTTTGGCATATACATTCATTGTTAATTTGACTGAGAATGTTAATGTCTGACCTAGTGGCCCTGCCAGGAGACTCCAGAGGATCAATTCCCAGGAGGAGCTGGACTTCCAGGAGTCATCAAGTGGCTCGGACCAGTCGGAGCTCTGTGGAGAGGACAGCATTGGGGAGCTGGACTGGACTCCCAGCCAGGAGCAAATTTTTGAGAGGTTGGTAATGAAGTATTAATTCACAGCACTGCTGAGTCTTCATTGGATACTGGAAGAGAGTGGAAAAAGATACAGGGAAACTCTGAGCATCATGTGTAATTCTTAGCTTTAGGGCCAGTCAATGCTATTAGTTCCTTCATCCCCTAGGAACTGCCTGTATACTCTTGTCACATTAGGCTGGGCATTGTTGGGCTCGACTGTGCTGAGCAGTGAGCACAGGGCCCAAAAGAGGACATCATGCCCTCAGGCCACCCTCATGAAGCCTAGAATAGTATAGCTGCTTTATTGTTGTTCAGAATATACACCTGTTAGTGCAGATCAGCATGAAATTTCAGTGCATGTACTCGCCATCTGACTGTACAATATAAATGATAAATAAATCCAAAGGTATGAAAATAATCTCAGATTTGTACACGTATGTGAATACAGGAGGAATTTGTCTATATTCATTATTAGAAAACGGGAGAAAACCTGTAAAGAATATTAGGAAAAACTGCCCTAAATATACAGTCACATTGTGCATATATGTTTGGGGGTTGGAGGGTAGGGGTACAGCATAGAGGAGTAGCTATGAGTTCTAGAGTCTGATGGCATTGGGAGTGAACCTGTTGCAGAATCTGACTGTCCTAGACCTGATGCTGCAATATACCTCTTGCCAGAGGGGAGCAAGGATGGGGTGATGGGCGCGGACGGAGTCTTTGATGATGTTACAGGTTCTGCTGAGACAGCGTCTGGGCTGTTCCAAATGAGCTGTTGAATGCGGTGGAAAGATTCGACACATTCACAGGGCTTCATCTCACCATCACTACCAGGGAATCACAGACTAAGCTCTAACGAGGGACCATGGGACACAGCACATACAGTTTGAGAGAGATGAGGGAACTGGCCACCAGTGGGAATACAGCTGATACTAATCACAGACAAATGAGACAAGGAAAGCAAGACAGTTTTCCCTTAAGCTACCAAAATAGAAGAGGAAGTAACAGAACACTGGAACTGAATCACAGGCTTGACTTTGAGACAGAAAGGTAAAGAAACAAAGAGAGACAGACCAAGACATGAGAACTGACAGGGACAGGAGATAAAAATGGAGGCATGATTGACACTGAGACCCAGACAAAGATACTCAAGCTACACACAGACAGAAGACAAAACAGAGACAAGACTTGGATGGACCGGACACAGAAAGGAATTATCATCTGAAGAGAAACCAAAAACTGGAAGGCAAGATGACAAATGCAGAAGCGCCAATAATATAATACACAGGACACAAAATAGACAGGCTTGACCACAATTACCATCACAAACCCAAAAGAATACACCGTGAATACATAAAAGTCAAAACCCTGGGTCAATGACTCGGAGACCATGATACTAGTGCACCTGTTGTTAATTTCATTAAAGCCAAATCACATAAAACCTGCTGCTTATGTGACCAAATCAGAGGTTTAATTGAGTTGATGCTATACACTAATTAAAAAATATTCATACAAATAAAAGAATAAAGAGGGAAAGAAAAACCCACAAGCAATAAAAAAGCACAAGGAAATTTAAAATAGTCATAATCATAATAAATTTACATATGGGCTTAATCAAGCATTAGAGATAGTTTGTGCTATCTGATCTGATCTGAGTGATCTCAGATATTTGTGTTCTCACTTATATCCTCACCATGCAACATCTACACAAGTTCAGTGGTTAAATCAACATATTACTGATGAACAGATCTCACTATCACATTTTATTCTCCTGTATTTTCCCTCAGAGACGTGCTGCTGAGCCCAGAGAAGATGACGAGCCAGAACCGGTTTCGCTTCCAGCCCAATACCTCCTGTCCGAAACCGCAGGCAAGAGTGTCCGATCAAACTGGTGCCAGAATTCTGCCCAACTCCAAAGTCACTGTTCCCAAACCTTTCCAGATGATGCTAAGAGAAGAGGAGAGGAAGAAGCACAGAGTGCGCACACGTTCGGAGATTGAGCTGGAGAACACGCTGCTGAGGCAGGAGTTGGAAGAGCTCCGAGAATGCCAGAAAAAGTTCCGGGCGTCACCTGCTCCGGCACACATACACCTGCCTCTCTATGAAATTATCAGCCGTCGCAATAGTCAACGGTCAAACCAAAGCAGAAGCAACACCAACAATAACAGGAACATGGATGCTACAAGCACCCAGACCTCTACTGCACTCTCACCACAGCCTTTTCAGTTTTTGGAGAGAGAAAGGAGGAAGAAGGAGGCCAGGATTGTGGCAGAGCTTGGAAAGTTTGGTGAGAGAATTGAGCGACATAACTTCAAGGCAAAGCCAATGCCCACATCTATTTATGGCACCAGACACAGAGAGGGCACCATGACTACAAGCCATGATCCCTACACTCAAATCTTCTACAAAATGGAAAGAGAAGCTAATGAGAGCCAAAGTGATCAAAGCTCAGACCTGGAGCTTCATATGCACCAATCCGACTCCTCTCTCGACTCCTGCAGGTCCCAAAGAAGTCCTTCTTCCAAGCCAATGAAGAAGCAAATACAGCTGTCCATTGAGATGGTGAAGGAGAGAGAGACCCCTATCACTGACCCCAGCGGCTGCAACATCTGCTTGTCTCAACAGCTGGGTGGCCCAGAGCTTCTGCTCAGTAACAAAGGTGTTCTCAGTGTGTGACAAAGTGTTTAAAACTCACAGCAAAAAGGGAGACGAGGAGCAGTTACATCTACACTGTTTTTGAGTTAGTTTTACAATGCAGGCAAGTCAACATGGTTTCTAGTTGCTCTTGATCAAACAATAAAACACGGTTAAAGAAATGCATGTGCAAGGATGTGTTGTTTTTGTTTCTGTTTTTGTGGAATATTTTGCAATCAAAAATACATTGATTGTTTTCTGTCATAATTTATTGTTTGTTTCAGGTTGTTTCATTTTTTTCAGTTTATATATTTAGAACCACCACAGTCGCATCAAGGTACTTTTTATTGTAAGGTAAAGACTTTAACAGTAATACAGAGAAAACCCCACAATCAAATTCCCCCTCTGAGTCCTCCTTTAAGCAAACACTGGTGACAATGGGAAGGAAAAACTCCCACTTAACTTTTGCATTTGCTGTAACCAGTTAGGTGTGATGGAGACAGGACAAAAGACACAGTGTGAAAAAGAGCCAGAGATTAATAATGACTAATTATTCAATGAAAAGTGTATTAATACACAGTCAGTGAAAAAGGTAAGTGAAGAAGAAACATGCAGCACATCATGGGAAAGCTCTAGTAGCCTAGGACTATCGCAGTATATCTAGGCAGGAGTCAAAAATCCCCTGATCCAGCCACAACTATAAGCTTTCTCAACAAGGAAAGTTTTGAACCTGGTCTAATAGCACGCTGCCTCCTGATCCTGAATCAAAACTGGGAGCTTTTGATTCAGGATCACCCCCCCCCCCCCCCCCCCCCCCACACACACACACATTCTTATCAAACATCTGCAAATATGTCTGTCAGAAAAATGTGTTGTTGTTGTTTACATTCACCCGATGTTTTTTCTTGATAGCTTCACCTGCACGGCCACAGTGCTTTCATTCTTAGCGCAAGAATGTAGAAAGAAATTTTCATTCTAGCAGAACAAGCTTCCACAATGCCGATTAACAGTCTTACAGTAGCGTCTATTATTCATGCTTCCCAGAACACACAACAAACGCGGAAAATCGTTTCAGCAGTAACAGTTTTATTTATGTTTTACTACATTGTATATTAGAGACTGTGTACATGCTGAACTCTGCCCTGCTGCAGGGTGCATGTAGCTCCACAGTTTCCTCAAGAGTTTTCTGTCTTGTGCTCCAGCAGATTACTGCATAAGAAGTACACTGACTAGCCGACATGTGGGACATTCCTGGAATAGCGCAACCGAATCAATGCATTTTATTTATCACTTTGGGAAGGGAGAAGCAATGAGAAAGAAGTCTATACGACTAGGGTTGGACTAGGAGTATGGTGGGAAAATCTTGGGAAAATCATGCTGCACATAACAAAGAAGCAGAGGCTGGGGATCCCAAACACACAGTTCATTCACAGTAATGTTTAAACACCCTCCTGTTCTTTCCGTCTCCCAGCACGACCGTGTGTCCAGTTAGATACTAAAGATTTCTGAGGAAATACTCGGGGAACTTCTGAGCGTCCCACGATGCGACAAAAGAGACGACCTGCAAACAATTACCCCGGAGACTGAGACATCACGCCCACTCAAACTTTAAATCAATTTTCGCCACTCTCTAACTTCGGCTATTTTCCCCATCTCTGTGTTTATGAACTGTTCGGTAAAATGTTGCTCACACAGGTTAAAACTAATCATGTACCCGTTTCTGCACGTTCAGGGAACAAAATACCGGTCTGGGCACATATTCAACCAATGACTGACCATTCTCAGTGAAATGCCGTAAATAGCGGGGTGTTGGTATGTGTACCAAAATCGCGTTGGTGCCAGATGATCACACCGCTCAAGGAAGTCACTCCTCCACGCGCGTAGCCAGCTGCAGCTGAGAAGAGGGCGTGTAGCCCATTACAGTGCTGCAAGACGTCTTTAGAGATAAAAGCTTAGGTGTCAGTCACCGCACAGGAGACGAAAGGGCTGGACGCCTGTGAAACGTTAAGCCTTTTAAGCGGAATCCTGAAAATAACCAACGCTGGAGTTCATCGGAATTCTCAGGATTATGGAAACTCTGCGCATTCTGAGTCTGGGTAAGTGCACTTTATTTAAGACTTTACTGAATAACTGAAGTCAAATAGCTAAAGTGTTTTTGCATTCGCTTGCAGGGGTGATTTGCATCAATATGATCTAACTTTAGCCTCCTGTAGTCTTAGTTGTTCGCCACAAAGCAGGTGTTATCAATAAAGCGCGGTTTGCGCTTCTGTTTGGAGAGTGGTGATTTCTTAAGACATTTAAGCGCGTGTTTATTTGAGTTTATTAAAAGTTATATCATTTCTTTGACGCCCATGGGTCTTCGGGACACCTGCAGTAGCACTGGGGGCGTGGTGGGATACTGGAAAATTTCATCTGAGCATGCGTAAGTGTGGAAATTGTTGGCTGGCTTTTCACGGGGGGGATACCATCACAACCCTAAAACGGAGGTTTGTCCAGTCACCAAGTTAGACTTGAAGTCAGTAAATGCACGTGGCGCCCCCCCCCCGCCTCCCTACGCACTTTGCTGGCTATCTGAGTTTGTCAAACTCAGTCTCTCACTCAGCGCAGTCGATCTCCATCCTCCGCCCACTCCTCTGCTGGAGCAGAGTGTGTTGTCTTTCCTCCTTGCTTCTTCATTGTACCGTGTGTTTGTGCCACTCCCTTCTTTTTCTGGACAGATATTAAACTTGACCTTGCAGTAGCATAACAGATCCGACCACTGCTGACATTAAAGAGAAACAGAAAGTTATAAGTTATAAATATGTTATTTTTGACAAACTATCCCATTACATTTTTTTTCCAAGTTATCTTCCCCATCAATGTTTAAACAAATACTGGCTACATTGCTTTTAAACACAATACACGACTTTGCATTTTGGCACACAATGTCAAATCATGTTTCTGGTCTCTTTCCCCCCAGCTGTGTTCGTGAATCTTTGCTATCCACAGGAGGTCCCATGTAATGTCAGTCATAGCCCTCAAGGGATCATTTATAGAGTCCCAGAGTTCCAGGCACAGGCGTGTGACTATCACTGGGATAATGCAAGCGTAAGTTCAACACCTGCTTAGTTTGGGAAGGGAATTTTATTTCCTGATGTATCCTGTGCCTCTGTGTTTTTGTTTTTTTTTTTGGTTTGTTTTTTTTAAGCATAAATCTATTATATACAGGTGTTTCTCATGACAGATAAAGCAGAAAAAAGTGCTAAAAAGAATGAATTTAATGTTTGATTGTCTGATCGGCACATGGCCATGTGGCTTTATATGATTAATGAGATTGTTATGATAGCTCCAGAGCCACTATTTTAACCCTCTTACTGAATGAATTTGTAAAACTGCTCTGATTTTCTCATCTGTTGCCTTCAGGGTCATGTCCTCGCAAACCAGAAGGGTAAAATGGATAAACTGGTACTGAAAAGCAGTAACAGGAGTATTATGATTACCAGCTGTTTGAGCCACCTCAACTATACTCGGGACTGCATCTCTGAGGTGTTACACTCCTCACCTTTTAACTGCACACCGAGTAACACATGATAATTTAAAGCAGAGACACATAATTAATGACATTAATTTAATTAATGTAATTTCATCTGCCTATCTTAGGGAATACAGCGCAGAGCAAGTTGTGACAGTGAGTATCTGCTTGCTTTATTTTTAAAGGATATTTGATGCTACGTTTTTTCCCACTGAGGTAATTATAGATAATGTTTTTGATTTCTTCTTTTTACAGCTGACTGCAGTACTCCTGGAGGAGGTAGGAAACAGCAAAGCAGGAAATTATACTGATGTTAAGTTTTTATTATATTAGACAATTAAATCTTAATAATAAATTTTCTATGTAAAATTAGAAATGAATGACCTCTTTAAACAGGTATGGAAAGTTGAGATTCTCATCTCAAAAAAGAGATGAGCATCTGAGTCATAAAAACTGAATGGCAGTAAAGGAAGTCTAAAAGGGTTGTTGTCACACGCCTCCACTTCCCTTTGATGAATGAGCTGCTGAGGAAGTAGGTTTTTCAGTTTTCATTCATAAACAAGTAATCACTGTGTGATATTTAAAAATGTTAAATCACACTTGACCCAGTGCAAGAATTTAAATAGAATTCTGCTGCACTCAGTGCAAATTGGTATCTGGGACGTCAAGTCACTCATCAGCTCAGTTATGTAAATAAACTGCAATATCAATCTGTGGATTGATAATATATAATTTCACAGTGAGTCAATTATTGTTGATATTGTCATGCAGTGTTGTCGGGTGTTCATACAGAGAGGAAGTTTGGAACCTTATGGCTAATCACTGTTGAAATGTGAGTTAGTGTAAAGAAAAAAACTGATTTGCTTCTGAGACGTCTGAAAATAGAAGTTTTGATGTTGCAAAAATATTATAGTTTTGTAGTACATGTCACAGCTAGTCCAGAACTAGTTCATGAACATATAATGATGCTAAAAGGGAACTGTACAAAACTGTGTCAGTTACTAACATGCAGCAGCTTGAAGAATAATAGACTGTTGTCATCCAATAGATGAATGCCTGGATGGATGAAAAATCACTTATAGCTCCAAAGTGGCATCAGTCATGTCACAGACAACCCAACAAGAATATTTTCTAAATGACTGGAAGTCTAATTCATGAGGGATACGCAGCTGCCTGTCAGTTTAAATAATGCAAAAATTGTACTTTGGAGATCTCAGGCAAAGTAAAATGTTCAGCAGACTAATTGTCAAACTCTCTTTGCTCTTGTAGGGATACCTCGACATTACTGGTATATGATTACCAGTTTCTCCATCATGGCACTGCTGGTTCTACTGGTCTGCATTTGCAGGTATTTCAAGTTAAGTCAAGTCAAGTCAAGTCGGCTTTGTTGTCACTTCAACCATCAGCTTCAATGCTGAACTCAAAAGTAACAAACTTCAAAATACAAAGAATAAACTCAGGCAGGCAGACAGAACACACAGCATGAATGAGGGTCGATCGTGACACAGACAAAGGAAAACACAGGGCTTAAATACACAGGGATGGGAAACACCCAACCAGTCACTCGTTGGGTGTGAAGGGAGGAAGAGAGAACAAAAGAGATACTGTGGAGGGGAGCCCGAGATTATTAATAGTTAATAATTGCAGAGAGGTGTATTAACACATAGTGAG